CACACACCCTGCCCCAGCACATGTCCATCCTTAGCTTAACTGATGGTCACACAGACTTTCCCCACAATAAGGGGGAGAACCCATGCAACGGGCATCCTATTTCATAGTCTGAGGCATTACCTGACCCGTAGTAGTGTTGGCTAGTACATTGCTTAATGGTACATCAAGGAATCATGCTTCTTTTGGTTCATTTATACACTTATCAGATAGTCATTGGATGTCCACTAGATGCCAGGTTGCAAACACCCAAGTGAACCTGACCACTTAGCTGTGAATGAATAATTGTACTTCTCTGAAACTCTGTGTCGGAAAGTGATTATTCTAGCAGCTCATGGCATTTTTAATATTGTTCTCAAACACTGTAACACAAAAGCATCTGTACTTTGATGGGCTTCCTTATACATTGTCCAACTTTCACATGCATATGAGGCTATTGAAAATACCATGGCTTGGGTTAGACCTCAAACTGACATCTTTGTTCTTCAACACTTTGAAGAGGTCTTGTGCAGCAAATTTGCCTAATGCAATACATTGATTTCTTAATTGCCACTTCTATGAGTGTTGATTGTAAATCCAAGCAAAATGAAGTCTTGGCTAACTTCAATCTTTTCTCCATTTATCATGATGTTATTTCTTCTTGGTCCAGTGGTTGTGGTGGTTGTGTGCTGTGGAGTCGGTTCTGACCCATAGCGACCTTATACAGGGTTTCCGAGGGTGTAAATCTTTACAGGAGCAGAAAGCCTCATCTTTCTCCCACGAAGCAGCTGGTAGTTTCAAACTGCTGACCTTGCAGTTCACAGCCTGATTTGTAACCACTACGCTCTTGGTCCAGTAGTGAGGATTTTTGTTTTCTTTGCATTGAGGTGCAACCTGTACCAAAGACTGTGGTCTTCGATCTTCATCTGTAGGTATTTTAAGTCCTCTTGGTTTACAGCAAGCAAGGTTGTGTAACTGCATTTTGCAGGTTATTCATGAGTCTTCCTCCAATCCTGATGCCACGTTGTTCTTCATAGAACCCAGCTTCTTGGATTATTTGCTCAGTGTACAGATTAAGTAAGTCTGGTGAAAGAATATATCTCAGATGCATACCTTTCCTGATAACTCATTTAGGATCCTTTGTTCTCGTCTAACAACTGCCTCTTGCTCTATCTACAGATTCTTTGTGAGTACAATGAGCTATTCTGAGATACCCATTCTTCACAATATTGTCCATAGTTTGTCAAAATACATACAGTCAGAAGCCTTTGCATATTCAGTAAAGCACAAGAAGACATCTTTCTGGTATTCTCTGCTGTCAGTCAAGATCCATCTGACATCAGCGATATCTCTATTCCATATCCTCTTCTGCATCTGGCTTGAATTTTTGGTGGTTCCCTATTGATGAACTGTTGTAACCATTTTTGAATTATCTTCAGCAAGATTTTACTTGCATTTGATATTGATAATATTGTTCAGTGATTTCCGTATTCCACTGGGTCACCTGTCTTTAGAATGGGCACACATAATAGATCTCTTCCAGTCAGCTGACCAGGCAGTTGTCTTCCAAATTTCTTAGCAAAGATGAGTGAGTACCTCCAGTACTGCATCAGTTTGTTGAAAGGTTTCAATTTCTATTTCATCAGTTCCTGGAGTCTTTTTTTCTTTTTAACCCATGTCTTTAGTGCCGCTTGAACATCTTCCTTCAGAATCATGGGCTCTTAACCAGCTGCTAGCTGTTGAAAAGACCGACCACCAACCATTTCTTTTTGGTTCAGTGATTCTGTATATTCCTTCCATCTTCTTTTGGTGCTTTCTATATCATTCAGTATTTTACCCATGCAAACCTTTGATATTGCAAGTTGAAGCTTGAATTTTTTCTTCAGTTCCTTCATCATGAGAATTGCTAAGTGCATTCTTCCCTTTAGGTTGTTTTTTGACTCCAAGTCCTTGCATGTTTTATTCTAATCCATGGCTTTGTCTTCTAGAATTGCCTCTTTCATTTTCTGAGCAGCTCTTTTACTTTCTTATTTCTTTCAGTTGCTTTCGCGTCTCTACACTGGAGAACCAGTTTTCTGGCATTCTTCCTAATCATGTCCTGCTTTCTTCCTCTTTGATGTTCTTGATGCTATCCCTCAGGTCTTCTTGTCTTCTGTCTTTAGTGTCTGATGCATCAGATCTGTCCTTGAGGTGGTATATTCAAGGTCAGATTTTGATTCTTATAAGCTTATTTTGCTTTTCTCTAGCTTCAGCCTGAACTTGCATATGAGTAATTGATGGTGTGTTTTACAGTTAGTCACTGGCCTGGTTTTGACTGATGATACTGAGCTTTTCTATCATCTGTTCCCACAGATATAGTCAGTTTGATTCCTGTGTATTATATGCAGTGAGGTCCAGTTGCTATTTATGTTATTTTAAACAGTTATTTGCAGTGAATAAGTCATTGACTTTGTAAAATTCTATCATGTGACCTCCAGCATCATTTCTGTCACCAAGGCTATGTTTTCCAACTACTGATCCAGCCTCTGTTTCCAACCTTTGCATCCCAATCCCTAGAGATTATCAGTGCATCCTGATTGCAAGTTTGATCAATTTCAGACTGAAGAAGTTGGTAGAATTCTTTAATTTCATCCTCACTGGCTTTAGCAGTTGGTGTGTAAATTTGAATAATAGTGGTAGTAACTGGTTTGTAGGCATATGAAAATGATCCTATCACTGACAGCATTGTACTTCAAGGTAGGTCTCGAAATGTTCTTTTTGATGATGAATGCAAATGTCATTCCTCTTGAATTTGTTGTTCCTGGCATAGTCAACTGTATGATGATCTGATTCATTATGGTTGGTACCAGTCCATTTGAGCTCAGTAATGCCTAGGATATCAATTTTTATATTTTCCATTTCATTTTTGCCAATTTCCAATTTTCAAGATTCATGATTTGTATATTCTGTTTTCTGATTATTAGTGGATTTTTGCAGCCATTTCTCCTCATTTTGAGTTGTGCCCCTTCAGCAAATGAAGGTCCTGAAAGCCAAAGCTTTATCCTGGCCACATCATTGTGACCAGCTCTGCTTTGAGGAGGAGGCAGCCCCTCCCTTGTTGCTGCTTGAGTTGCTTCCAACCCCATGGGTTCCCTGTCCAGCACCATATTGGACAGTGTTTTTCTGCTGGTTATAATGTTTTCATGTTCCATTACTTTATCTGTCAGTGTTCTGCTGCTCTTCGTAAGGTTTTCAGGGGCTAAACATTCAGAAGTAGTCCACCTTTCCTCCTTCCTAGTCTGTCCTGGTCTGGAAGCTCTACTGAAACCTGTCCTCTGTGGATGACCATGCTGGGCTGTAAAATACAGATGGCATAGCGTATAGCACCGCAGTAACACCAAACCACCACACTGCAGCAGACAGATGAGTGACGTAGGTGCTTATAAATTGTGTCCTTCATGGTCCTTTTTACCAGATACTAGTTTCCCCAGTATCCCCCATCTGCTCTGGAAAGAGATCATTATGAGGATCTAGGTCTGGGGCAAATTCTGTCCCAGCTCTTCTTTTCTTGAGGTACGAGGTGCTTGTGAATGGTGTTTTAACTCCTCTGACCCGTTGTTGGTTTTGTTAGGTGTCACTGAGTTGATTCTGAGCACTGAGTAGAACTGTCCCATAGGTTCCCTGGACTCATCCTTGGAGCAGATGGACAGGTCCTTCTCCCGTGGTGGGCTCGAACCATCAACCGTTCTGTTAGCATCCAAGCACTTAAGCATTGCGCCACCAGGTCTGCTTCCTTTTAGCCATTACAAATGAGGATTTTTCAAAACTGCATTTGTGTGTGTGTGGTCAGTTTTGTCATTCAGCTAAGTGGTTGTTGTTGTGAAGTGCCGTTGACTCGGTTCAGACCCATAGCAAACCTGTATAGGGTTTCCAAGGAGCAGCTGGTGACATTGAACTGCCGACTTTGCAGTTCAAACGGCTTTGCAGTCTGGCGCATTTACCCACAGCGCCACGCCACGACTCCTCAGCTAAGTGGTAGATAGGACGTTAGTGGACCATCAGAACTAGTAATGCCCATGTGGAGTGGTCAGCCACTCAATATCAAAAGGCATCATGTACTTAAGGACGAAGCTGAGAAGGGCTGGGAAGGAGGGAGGAATAGAAACCGGAAGCACAGGGAGGAAGCGGGAGAACTGTTGTTACATGGAGGGGACTGCAGTCATTGAGACGAAACCAAATGTCTGATCTGTTGACTGTTGAACTGATGATCTGCCCTGTAAGTCTTCACGCAATTCACTCTATTTGCTGTTGTTAAGTGCTGTCGAGATGGTTCCGACCCATAGTGACCCTGTGTAAGGGTTCTGAGGAGCAACTGGTAAGCTTGAACTGCTGACCTCGTGGTTCAAACTGCCTTTGCAGTCCAGTGCATTAACCCACAGCACCACACCAAGACTCCTCAGTAAATAAATATGAAAAAAATAGAAGAATGATGTGTATAGTGAGATTTACAGAGCTCTTAACGTGTACCACCCCCGATGCTAAGAGGTTGGTAGGGGTCAGGTAAATTAGCCACACATACCCTTCCCACCATCAGCTGGTCCTTGACCCCACCGGGCAGCCGCAGTGTGAGAGGAGAGGCCGTGTGGATAGCAGCGGGCGGAGGTGGAGGCACCAGTAGAAGCAGATAACAAGCGCATTGAAGCTTGGCACAGCTCACGGCGGGCAGCAAGCATGTCTCTGAGGACAGGACTACGTAGGAAAAGGCTTCCCACCCAAGCTGGTGTTGGTCCTTGCAAAGAGACATTTTCTCTCTCAGAAATATGTTTACTGGAGCAAAAGAATTCCCAGGGATGCCTTATATTGCCAAGTATGAGGGGGCTCCAGGAAGTTCGTACAAAAAAATCCCATGATCTTCCCATAAACTCTCTGATGTCCCTTGATAAGAGTTGGCTGTGTGTATTGGCTGGGTGCCAATGTAGGATCTTGGGATGCCTGGGGAGAAGGTCACTCGAAGGTCACTCGGATGACACTGTGTTTTTATTTAGCCAGCAACAGAGGCTCTTGAGGAAGCGCCCACCCAGTATCTCCACATCACAGAAGCTGACGAGGATGTGCAGGGGACCCAGGCGGCTGTGGCGGCGCTTCAGGACCTGAGATACACCTCAGAGAGTGGTGAGTGTAAGCACAGCTTCCCTGAGTCCTTTATCTGCGTGCTGAGTGGACATGCTTGGGGAGAGAGGTGCCAGTCAGCCGATGGACTTTAAACTCCCCGACGTGGTGTTGTCTGGTGCCGGCAATCTCTGCCCCAGGAAATATTCCGAAACGTCCATGGCAAAGGCTGTGCAGGATTTCCTCACACAACGTCACCTTTCACCTCAAGGACAGTCCACGGGAGAAGCAGCCACACACAGGGGCCCATTGAAGACGGCTGGCTGAGAGTCACCCACTTAGCTCCTGGAGTTGGGTTGTCTTCCTTTGTTTCCTCCACTCCAGGTTGCTGGGCTCGGTGATAAGGCAGAGGTTGGTGGGACTGACCACTCCAGGACACAGCTCCCGTGTCGGCCAGGGCTGCAGCCATTCAGATCCTGGATTGTCTGCTCCCAGTTCCTCCAAAATGCCCAAAGATTTTTTGTTAAATGACTTGATTTCCAAATGGTCCATCAGCATTAGAAAAGTAACCGCTGAATCAGTCTGTGGGTAGCAGGAAGTATTGTCTGCAGAAAACACCTTTGCTTGAAGTGCTTCCAAAATAGAAACAGAACAGCCACCCCCTGTCTGTATTTGGTGGGGCAGGTGGGAGGAGGGATTCCTGGTTGGTGCTGTAGAATCAGCTCTGCACTGGGAACCACGTGACCAGCAGCCCTATATCACCACAGTCTCATCCTCACAGGGCTGTGTGGGCCTCGGAGATGACATGTACTTCTATCCTTAGGAGAGATAGCAGAAGAGAGAGGGTCTGGGTTTGCATCTGTGACTCTCAGCACCAGTGGCCTCAATGGGCTCCCATCTGTTTCTCTCCTGACAGGTGACCGCCTGGACCCCACCGCTGTGAACATCCTGCAGCAGATCATCGAGCTGGGCACTGAGACCCACGATGCCACCGCTGTGGCCTCAGTGGTTGCCATGGCACCAGGGACTGTGACTGTCGTGAAGCAGGTAAGGATGTCCCTGTAGGGCCTGACCTTGTCCCTGGCAGTATGGGGGAGGAGCACCAGCTCCCTCTCTGATTACCATGGGCCCCTGTGTGTGGCTGCATCTGGGAGAGGTACTGTGTGTTCCCCCCAAAATCTGGAAACTCTTCCTGGAGAACACCCGAGAGAAAATGCACAGGACGCGTACACAGTTAGACACATGTCACCATGGAAAGCACACAGAGGACCTGGGCTTGGAGTAACGGTGACTGATGAACTGGGGCCCTGGTAGCAGGACTTTCTGACTTACGCTGGTGTTTACTCACGGGCTGATTGTAAACTAAAGCCCACTGAGCAGTCCGTTTGTTTTTTTTTTTCTTTTTTAAGATCTAGCATCACCCAATCACACTGATGCAGGGTGACTGACACTGATGCAGGGTGACTGAGCAGATAGGAGGAAAACGAACCAGATTTAAGTCAAGGATGCTTGTTTCTTAATATTGACTCTGTCTGGCTCATTCTGTCCTCTTCTGTCCTCAGGGACGTTGCCATCTGCTGAAATGCAGTGTGTTGGGTAATGGGACCATCCTCTGCATCTCTCTGCCTATCTAGCTTTCTACCTGTCTCCAAACTCATCTTACAAAAGATTCAAGCTGGTGTATACAGATCCTTTAAAAACAAAAACAAAACCCTACCAAAACAGTCAATTGTGTTAGAACCAGGGAAATAACACAATTGAGACTGGGAATTCAGGTTCATGGAGAGAGGTGATGTGCACACTGTAAGGTTTTGTACATTTCTCCATCCTTCAGTTCATTCGTTCCGTCGGGATTGTTGAGGGCTACTTTTCCGGCCTGGCGGCGTTCTTATTGCTGGGGTGTAAGAGTGTCGTCATCTGTTATCACAGTGGTGAGAAAGGTACTACATAGAGAAACAAGTGTGACATGCAGGGTATCAGAGGGAGAGCATGGGCAGCGAAGGAAAATCCAGTACAGGAAGGGTGGGGCCTTGGGTTGTCGGGGAAGTTGACACTGTTGTCTGAGAACGTGGTACTAATGTTTGAGCAGTGACCTTGGCTGAGGGTGTGTTGCTTAGATTATCCAGAATTGACTAAAAATATGATACTGAATGTAATAACAGAAAACAAGAGGGTTTTCTGTTTCTGAATTTTATAACAGAAACTACAACAATTGACAGAGGAAAGGGTCGGTTTTTCTTGGGACTTACGGATAAAGGAGGAATATCAGCTGTCTGGAGTCCTGGAGTGGCGCTGCTGGATAATGCACTTGACCGCAAGGTTTGTTTGAACTGCAAGGTCAGGGGTTCAAACTTACCAGCTGCTCCTTGGGAACCTTACACAGGGTTGCGATTAATCGGAACCAGCGCCACGGCACCTGACAATAACAATCAGTTATCTGAAGGGACTAGTCCCTGGAGAAAGACATTATGGTTAGTAAAGTGGAGGATCATTGGAAAAGAGGAAGACCCGAACAAGATGGATTGGCACAGTGGCAGCAGCAGTGAGCTCAAGTGTACCAACAATTGGAGAGTCTGGTGCAGGACTGGGCAGTGTTTGGTTCTGTTGTGCATAAGGTCGATATAAGTCGGAACCAACTCAACAACACCTAACACCACCACCACAGATAAAGGCATTGCATATGTGGCCTCTCATGGGGCCCTTTAGTGATATGTCCCTGAGCCTTGCCTTTGCTGTACCAGGAATATGGCTGCCCCTCTAAGTACACCCAACACTAAGTGCAAACCACCCAGTCTGGATCCTGGTCTGTTCTGGTTCAACTCAGCTATTTCGGGCCCCAGGCACAACCCATCCAACCTGTATGGACAAACATCCAAAAGACCCTCCTCACTTGGTGTGGACAGACTGGGCAGTGGTCAATGTGGTGTCTCACTCCTGCCCAGGGCTGGTACTCTGCTAGGACCAAGAACAGAGTTGTATTCTTCTAGATGAAAAACTTTTAGCTTTTCTTTGTGATGGCTAGACTGCCATTTTCAGGTGCTGGACGCATCTCTTCTGAAAGTCTTCCTCTGGCCCTTCAGGAAGAATCTGATTGGGATGCGGCTGGGGAGACTTGGCTGTGTGAAGGTGCTGCGGGTCTGATTTGTATCTTCCTTCTCCAAGTGGATTGATTTGCTGTTTCTCAGGGACATGAGTTATTGAGCGTCGTGGGCAATGCAGTGATCTACAAGGTCGTGGGGATTAGGATGCAGCTTGGAGATGCTGTAAGGCATCAGGCTAATAGAAGGCAGATAAGCACCAGTCCAACCAGGGTACACAGGGCCTCTTCCTTCTTCCTTCTTGCTGAAAACACAAGGCTTAAGAATGGTGTCAGTGGTTAAGTCTTGATTGACTGTGTCTAGAAATGTTTCAAGATAACGTGTACAGGCAGACCTTGGGGACAACTCACCTTCACTCTCAGACCACTGCAATAAAGCAAGTTACATGAAGGCTTTGGTTTCCCAGTGCAGGTAAAAGCTATGTTCCCACGTTACTTTAGTCTGTTAAATGTATAGCAGCATTCTGAAAGAGTTTCAAAGATTGTGAGAATGACCATTATACGAGAGACATAGAGACGGGAGGTAGGCACTTGCTGTTGGAAAAATGGCGTCAGTAGATATGCTGGACTCACGGTTGTTGCAAAGTTTCAATGTATAGAAAACAAAATGCAGAATTTTGCAAGTGCAATAAAGTGAAGAACAATGGTTATATGTTCTAGTCATTATCTTGTCTTACTTACCCAGAACCCAGCTCATCTAGTGTGTATATAGATAATGGATAAGAAAATGGATGGAATGGGTGGGGGGGGGGTGTAGATGGGTGAGTGGGTAAAAGGATGGATGGATGATGAATGGATGGGTGGGTGTGTAGATGGATGAGAGTGGACAGATGGATGAATGGACAGACCGGTGGACAGTAAATGCTCACTCGATAAGGAAGGGCTTGTGATGTTCCCAGCTCTCTAGGTGAAAAAAAAAAATGTCCATCAAAGTCAGTTAAATGTCGTAACATTTAAATTTCAATGTAGCTGTTTTCATTAGATAAATTGGTTTTGATTTCTTCATTTTAATTAAGCCCTAGCTGAGGGTTTTGTTTTGTTTTATTTTTATTTCAGTTGAAAAATATTTCTGCTTAATGAGACTGCTTTAGCCACTTAAGCATGAACTCTAGCGCACCTGTTAGAAAGCAAGAGCATGAACCCTTCTCCCCTGTGTGGGAGCCCTGATGCTGGGGACGCTGTCTTGCTCCAGCCCAGGACGTCATGCAGAAGAGTTGCCCCATCAGTGTTTATTAAATAGAACTGAATGTGCGGTGGTCCCCTTACTTCATTTCTCCCATTCACTCCTGCAGATCAGTTGTTGTTGTTGTTGTTAGGTGCCATCAAGTTGGTACCGACTCATAGTGACCCTGTGTACAACAGAACTAAACACTGCCCAGTCCTGGGCCAACCTCACAATTGTTGCCACACTTAACCTATTGATACTGCCACTTTGCCAGTCCATCTTGCTGGGGGTCTTCCTCTCTTTGTCTGACCCTCCACCTTACCAAATATGATATCTTTCTCCAGAGACTGATTCCTCCTGAAAATATGTCTAAAGTATGAGAGAGGAAGTTTGGCCATCCTGGCCTCCAGGGAACACTCTGGCTGCATATCTTTCAACACAGATTTGTTTGTTCTTTTGGCAGCCCATGGCACTTTCAATATTCTTCTCCAACACCATAACTCAAAAGCATCAATTCTTCTATGGTCTTCCTTATTCACTGTCCAGCTTTCGCATGCATATGAGGTTATTGAAAATACCATGGCTTGGGTCAGGAGTACCTTAGCAAAGAAATCTTTACTCTTCGACACATTAAAAAGGTCTTGTGCAGCAGATTTGCCTAATAATGCAATACGTTGTTTTCATTTCTTAACTGTTGCTTCCATGAGTGTTGATGGTTGATCTAAGAAGAACGAAGTCCTTGACAATGAAGTCCTTGACAACTTCAATCTTTTCTCTGCTGGTAAGAATGTTGTTTATTGGTCCAGTGGTAAGGATTTTTGTTTTGTTTACATTGAGATGCAATCCATACCCAAGGCTGTGTGGTCTTTGATCTTCATCAGTATGTATTTTAAGTTCTCTTGGCTTTCAGCAAGCAAGGTTGCATCATCTGCAGATCGCAGATCAGTACTGGGGAAGGAAACCAAGAGCACCCCTCATAAGTAAGGTGCTGCATGCCACAACCTCCACTGGGGAGCAAATGTTCTAAAGTCAGCACTGAGCAGCATATTTGTTTATCCTTCTAAAGTTCTTTGTTTTATATACATTTCCACTGACCCCCAGTACTTGAGGAAGTGGCAGCCCAGTTGTCTCAGCCCCCCCCTCCCCCCAAAGTCCTCCATGTTAATCCCCTAGGCATCATAGCAGGTCTTTCTACAGGAACCACCCTTCATGGTGGTCAGTGTATCAGCAGTTACTAGTATTGGGAACACTGATTGTCTCCCTCCTCACTAGTGTCTCACCTACAGTCCAGGAGCTGGCTGCCCTTGGCCACAAGCTGGAGGTGGACTGTCCACTCCCCATTCCTGGTTCTCTGCAGGGCCCATGAGAATGGCCACATTTCTATTTTGTTTTGTTTTTTTCCTGATGGGCTGGATGCTTCTAAGCTGCCATGCAGGGGCCCCCAGGCAGGTACAATGAAAGCACTCACCACGTCCCCCACATAGACCCTCTGTCCAACACAGTGTTGCCACTGTAATCTTGCTCAGAATCCCCAGTGCTCTTCCACATGGTTTTACAACTGATTTTCTGTTTGTTTCCCCATGACCCTTTGTCATCTTTGGTTTGGTCGCCAACAGTGGTTGACCTTTGTCATCTTTGTCCCCCATGGTGGCTGGCCATTTGTCATGTTGCTTCCTCATGATGCTTAAACTTTTGTCATCTTGGACCCCCTGTGTTGTTCACCCTTAATCATCTCTGCCTTGGTCTCCCGTGGTGCCTGACCCTTTGTCATCTCTGGCTTAGTCT